CGCACACACATGGTGTCTTGTGGAAACAGGTGCTTCTAAAAAACTGAAAGACTTTGGCAGCTCTTTGACCTGACATAGCTCTGTGCATTAGTAAGACACAGCGCCTGCTGCGTTCCCCTGAGTTAATTAGAGGACCCGTATGGCAATGAATGGCCTTGACTATAAATACTTCCTGAAAGATCTCTAACAGAGTCAGAGGAAATGGGAAAAAAATGAGATGCAGCTACACAGAAAGTATTTCAGATGTTTATTCTTTAAAAAGCTGCTTTTTCTTTCTTCTTTCCCCTAAAGTGGCCTGCAGTATCCTAGATCTTCACCCACCTAAATATGCATGATACGATTGCATGCCTTTGAATTTAATGCTGTAGATCGCCATTAAAATGCTGCTAACCAAGGGGGTGGCAAAGCACACAAAAACCTTCAGTCCACCACACTGCAGTGAGCACAGGCAAACTACATTTTAGCCAAGCCTCATGCCACTGCCACTGCTAAGAAAATATTTTGTGTACTTGAACCTGCTGCTATTGCTTCTTGTGCTACTATTAAAGGCAGCAGCAATATCAACATCAGAGAGCAGCAGGTTTTACCTCAAAGGTATGTCATCCAGCTGGCCAAGAATTTAGTGTTTATAAACACAGGAGAAATATTTTGGAAATCACAAAGGCCGGTTCGGCATGCCCACTGCACTGCAGGAGGCTGGCAGCTAACACTTTGGAAAACAGGAGCCAATATTTTATCATGGAAAATAGTAATTCAGTACTAGAGAAAATTGCTGGTATTTACTGCACTGATAAATCAATTGATAATAAATCAATTACATCTATTTTTATCGATATCTCCTTATATATTTATTACCTATTTTTAAGTAAACTCCATTAATCAGCCACATAGGCGAATGCAAAATAAAGAAGAGAGAATAACTTTTCCTGATTTCCTCTCTCTCCTAACTTTGAAGATATATAGCTCTAGAGAGAAATGCAAAGGTCAGAAATGCAAATACCACAGCTGAAACCTAACTCTTGTTACAGTACATGGAAATTTTCTTGAAAAACCCTGATTTCCTGTAAACAGTCCAATCACGCATGGTGCAAAACATTCACAGTTTAAATGCAGAGCTAATTTCATCCTTCACCCCTCATATAAAATGCCTGTGGCACATGTTAATATAACTTCAATTACACATGCAAATAGTAGCCTGAAATCTGTCTTTGACAAAAATCACCAATATCTTTGCAATTGTCAAAGCCCTCCCTCTTTCTCTCTGACAGGATACATTTCCCCTTGTTTTATATAAATTATGATTAATTCACAGGCATCTTTATATTCCTTTCAGGCACATGCAGTGCTGTAGGACACACTCATCGGTGGTATCTTGCCTCTGTACTGGCTACGTTATAATGTGTTTGCCCATAGCTTTAGGCTGACTAGGCCTGCATACAGATCTGAGGGCTCAGGCTGGAATTCCAAATTTTGTGGAAAACCTACTACCGCGTCCACACATAACAAAACCAGACACTTCATTTAAAATCAGTTTAGCAAAAAGTTCCTGCTGTCCAGGATCAGCATTGTCAAAGCATTTGAACAATCTGCCTGGTTCAGAGTCTGCTGGCTGCCAATGTGCTACCCCCCTCAAAAAAAAAAGAGAACATTTTTGCATCTGAATAGACTTTCCAGTATCAACAAATCTTCAAACTATAAAATCAGCTACTCTGAGGAAGAGCAGAAATAATGTCTACATTGTACCATGCTGAGGTACATTTTTTTGTAATTCCCATTTGCAAAACACACAGATTTGCTGTAAGTACATCTGCTGGAAACATTTTAATAAGAAAAATAAATGAAAGCTCCTCACAGAAGTGTAACAAGCCCCTGAGAAGGATTCCGTTACACGCACACAGCTTGCAACCTCTCACTGCGGGGAAAAGGGGCGCCCGCTGCCTATGCGTGAGCACACATATGCACAGTTCAACCGTTACCATTGCAGTGTCTCCACCAACTGAAAGGTGTTTTAGCCATGCAGAAGAAATAAAAATCTTATCCTAATGATAGCCATGAATAACCTACTGTTGCACACAGACTGGGGAAGGAGCATGTGCATCAGGCATTGAAGGAAAACAAGAAAGCAGCACAAAAACAGCTTACAGAACATACAAAGCTGAAAAGCACTTGAAATAATTTACCAAAGTTTACTATTCTCCAGAATTCATAACAGAATTATGTGAGCAATTGTAGATTGTCATTCTTCCCCTAGTTTATCTGTATGCTCTTTGATATTTTATTAAAATGCTAATAACTGCTATGATAAACTCAGGTTCTAGAAAACTGACTTGCAATATTAATCTCTCTATATACGAAAAAGGTGTGAAAAACACTATCTCCTCTTGCCCTCCCCCCAGACATCACAATAAGAGATCTTAAAAAGGAAATCTACATGTTATTACTGCAACCGTTTAAATCATTACAAAGCATTCTTAATAAATAGAAGCACTCTATAAATACTGAATATATAGTACGAGCAAAGAGATGTGTTAGAGGCTTTCAGTCCATTTCTCACACTGTTTATCCACTGAGTGTCTACAGTAATTTTATTACAGGTTTTGTTTCCTAGACACCAGTTGTCCTGGGATACAGTATTTTGCAAGAGAATTCATTATATGACTCCAGAAGTGAGTATTAATCCTGTGCTTGTTTTTTTTTTTTTTTTTTTAGGAAGGCCCAGTTTTTAGCATAAGGTTAGCTATTTCTACTAGTTTTATTCACATTAGGAAGATACATTTCTCCCAAAACCATGTAATCCTGTGAGATTCACTTAATAGTAAGGACTCTTTTTTTCCATACATATATACATACATATATATATATATGTCTGTGTTTGTGTGTGTGTGTATATTTATCAGAGGATTACAAATTAACCTTTTTTCCAGAATGAATTTTTTTTCCTGAATAATTGCAAATTCTGTCTAGGACAAGTGAGATACAAAGCATAAAAAGCTCCCCGTTACTTTGTCTTCGTACTTAGCGACTCAAGTATTCCATCTAATTATTCGGTCCACAAAAAACTAGATCAAGAATAAAATAAAGGCATTAAGTCTCTATGATCCTTTTCACTGATCCACAGGAATATCCATCTATTTGAAGATAAGAAATAATACCAAAGTACTTCATATTTCTGAAAATCCTCCAAGTGATCAAAATACTGAAACTACTAGAAATACTTGAAAACAAACATATTAGCATTTTCATATATGAACATTAAAAGCATATCCAAACTTATTTTAAAGAAGGGCATAAAAAGCAGCCACGACACTCTTGTCTTTCCCATTCATCAATGGCTAAAAAGGATAAGCAGTAAAATGAAACCATTGTATATATAAAGTTTTTATGCTCCCAACAATGAAGCAAACTGAGATCTTTATAAAGCCAGTTCTTCATACTATCCAGTGCCTCTGCAGATTTTTGTTCACTTGTTTTTATTTTTTTTTTGTTTCTGTAACAGAAATTTTTCAAATAATTGATGACATTTACTTATGTTCTGATATTCCAAAATAAAATGGCTCCTCTGGTCAATATGTCTACAAACTGCTAAGAGACACTACAGAAAGTGAGTGGGGTACAACCGGTGCTGTACGTGCAGAATGAATTCCACTGCTAGTCAGGTATACGTACCTATATATTTGCATATCTTTTAACAGAGGAGAAAGATATAAAACTAGCATGCAAGCACATACACAGATTTGCAGTAGGAAACTTAGCATCCCATGACCATTTTTCATACAGCTAAAAGCATTAGTAACTCTCCATGGCCTATAAGGCACAAAGGTCTGTGGTCCCCTTAAATTGCTTGTAGACTTTAAGGGGTAGAGACATATTTTATACTTAGAATGATTTTAACATTTTTAACATTGCAGACTTCATTCAAGAAGCGCTCATGACATTTATATATGTATTCAGAGGGAGATTTACATAGGCATAATCTTAGCAGACCATGGAATAAAACACTTATCTTGACTTTTGTATTCTTCTGACGTGTTCACACTTACAATAATGGATGTTATATACGTTTTTATGAAAGATGATAAAGAAAATAGCTGATCATGACCTCCAATCTAGCTAAGTTTGCCTGCTAACTGAACATTACTGTAACAGCTTCCTAACAGTTCAGATGGGAAGCAGCCCCTTGAAAAATACATGGATGACTCAAACAGAAAAACGCTTGTTTTTCTACTTGTTCCTCTGAATTTAAGAGCTCTTCTAACCTCAGGTATCCCTACAGTGGAATAACATACCTTAAGTGAAGCGGAAGATCTTCATATATGGCCTTTTTTTTCTTATCCCCCCCACCCCCTTCCAAAAAAAACAAAAGAAAGAATAGGAATTATTTGGTACAATTAATATTCTGTCTTTCTTACAACCCAATTTCCTTCCTTTTCTCTTTTTTTTGTGCTTCCAAGGCAACCAGACAAGTGTCAAAATGTATATGTAATTATGGTGCTTTGCAAAAAAAAAAAAAAAAAAAAAAAAAAGGTTACTTTTTATTAATATTTGACTCAGGTTTCATATTCTTAGATATTTAATAATGTGAAATCTTGCTTAAGTGTGAACTGTCACACCACCTCAAAATTTAGGAGGTGATTAGTTGTTTTAATATAACAGATGTGCAGCCTTCTGGGGTCTA